TATGTGTCACACTAAGGGGAGAGGATGTGTGGGTGGCAACTCGTGGATAATTGGCTACTGTAATAAATATTGCAAATCCCTCCTTTGCAGGGGAGAATGCTTTATAAGGAAAGTGTGTGAATTAAAAGTCAGTTCTGCTCCTGATGCTGTGTGTCATCCAGTCATTGGGATCTGTATGGGGATATTCGTGGATTACCTTGCTTGCTGGAATTATTACTTTATGGTATTTTTACTACTTGTTTCTGAGCCTCACTGGGATCTCTAGTGGAGTTAACCTGGGGAATACCAGGCCTCCGCTACACTTAGCATGCAGCAAGGCATCTTTAATGGACTTAGAGTCTTGTTGCAAATAAAATGGCTTTTGTTACAGATTGATTCATGGATGCATCAGTAAAAGACAGCATTTAATTTGTGTTGAAAGTAAGCTAAGAATCACTTGCCTTGTGCGAAAGCTTATGGGACATATTATGTTCTTTTATGTTTAACAAATATGTATTTTTGATGTATGACAAATAAATCAAATGTAAAAAAACACCCTCTTTTATCCTTGTTTTTTCCATCAAGGTCTGCCACTGGCAGTCAGCATGAAAAAAGTATACAGAGAAGAGGCGAGATGTAACACTGATTCTGTTTATCCTCTTCATTAGCAAGGTTTCCCTGGGCTTTGCCATGTTTGAACTGGATTATGATATAATTTACTTTAAAAGGGACACTGTAGGTGCTGTAACCTCATCATAACATTGAAGTAGTTATGGTGTCAGGAGGGCCCTGTCATCGTCCTTCCATTCAGCAATGGGTGGCTTAGAGTTGCTCAGAAAGACCATTGCTGGTATACACTGGTATAGCTAGAAGGAAGTGTGTAATCACTAGTTGTAACTGCAGTGGAGGCCAGGCTGTGTGGCCAGGGACCCTTAATTAGTGTAAATTGCTTGGAAATGGTCTAACACTGAATGCAGGGACAATGCCAGAGGACTGACACTATAACAAGTTCAATGAGGTAAAATGGTAATAGTGTTTACAGTGTACCTGTTGAAATTTAGCAGAGTTGTATTAGCACAGCAGGAGCATGTATAAGTGAGGGAAGGGGCACATATAGAAAGATCTCAAAATGGCTGCATAGCAAGAGAGAGAGGGAGGAAGTGAGGCAAGATAAGAAGTCCAGATGTTATGGACTACATTTCCCCGATGCTTTGCTAGCATTATGGCTGTAAGAGTATTTGAGATGTAGTCTACAACATCAAGAGCGCTTAGGTCACCTTCCCTTGCTCTAGAAGTGAGTTAAGTCATTATGATACCTTGCTTGTTTCTGCTGCTTCTGTAGAAGAATGCACCATGTAAACTTACTACTGTTTTAATACATATTGTTTTGGAGTAAAATCTCATTCTGTGAAGAAGTTTATACATGTGGGTATAGCTACATGGCTTCTTTGAGATCCATAAGTTCTATTAAATTTCGAATTGTACGCTTTTGATTGAGAATATAAGTAATGTCTTCATCACTTTACACTTGCATTCCAAGATAAAATCACCAAGTAGTTGGGAGCAAGACTCCCATACTCTACCCTGATTGCTATTTTGGCCCGCAATCCTCTTGAAAATGCATAAAAAATGCTTTTACAGGATTATTCTGTAAAGTGAAAATAGTCAGGAATTCAACCTGAATTTCAAGTTTAGGGCATTAATAGACAGACAAACTGTACAAATAGCCATTCGATATGCTTCCAATTTGACTTTGGCCTTTGAAACACACTTTAAATTCCCTTTGCTATCACCATTGACGGACATACCTCTTCCAAAGTGGTCATCTCAATTCAGTGTCAATTCAGGAAGGGGTCCTGGAGAAGGGAAAATGCCTTGCATGGGGGAAAATGCCATGCTAGCTCATCTGCTTTTTTTTTTATCTTTAGTCTCCCCATAAACGGTACACCAGATGACAAAAGACACAGGTCTGGGAGAGGGTTTTGTGTATGCTGTTTGTGGTGTTGCATTTGTTGCTGTAGGTTACCTGTGATATTGTGTGTGTGTGTGGGTGTGAGATTGTATGTGTAGAGATCTCGTAGTATTGTGCTTGTGGGGATGCTGCAGGCCTGTGCATATGCTGCTTAAGGTATTAGGTGTTTATGGGGATGCTGCTTGTTGTGTTGCATATTTGTAAAGATGCTGCTTGTGTCGTTTCATGTTTATGTATGCTGCTTGTAGGATTTTGTGAGAGGAGGCTGCATGTGGGTTGAGTGTGAGTCGATTGGGCTGTTTATGTGTGATGTGTGCCATTTGTGGTGTAATATATTTGTGTGTGGCAGGGATATGGGCGGTAGTCTGGGGCTATAATGTTTGTGTGAATAGGGGTTGTAATTTGTGGGGAGGAAATAAGGGCTCTAACATGTACGCATGAGTCAGGATAGATATGTGTGTTTGTCAGGGATAGAGACTGTAATATTCTAATTTATTGAGATTGTGGACTTGGGGTTTTCATGAGCTGTAAGCCATAATCATCGCACTTATGACAAATCATGGCTTGAATTATCTTGCTTTTGCATGTAATGTGTCTATCTCACATATTAGTTTCCCCTTTTACATTGCATTACTGAAATAAATGAACTTTTGCACAATATTCAAATTCTTAGAGTATCACCTGTATTTGGAATACAGAACAGATTCCTCTTCGGCTGAGCTTGCTGCCCATCCAGTATAGGCAGGGCCGGTGCTACCATAAGGCATTTGCCTGGGGCGTCGACCTGTAAGGGGCCCCCAACGGGAAGTTTCCGAGTGGGCTGCCCTGCTGCTATCCTTGGTTAGCGGCTCCTTAGCCACCCCCTAGCGCAGCCATTCACCTGCTGGGCTCCCTCTGTTACTACTTGCCTGCTCAGGGAGCGGGGTATGCTGTAACCCTAGCAGAGCATTCTGCTTCTTGCAGGCAGGGGAAGCTGGGACATGACCTGGTATCCCAGTTGCCCCCTGCCTGTGAACATCGGAAACTCTGAGGGGAACAGTAAGTAGCGTTTGCTCACAGTGTAGCACTCTCCTTCTCTCCCAACAGAAACAACAACTTCCTGCAGTCTGGACCTATTCTCCTAACAGCACCCAGGTAAGCTAAGAAGGATTGTTTATTGTATGAATGATTGCAAATTGGTGTGTGTTTGTTAAATTGCTGTATTTTTGTGTGTAAATAAAGTGACTTAAAGTGGTGTGAGCTTATGTTTGAGTGAGAGTGTGCGAGTGACACCGTGTGTACATGACACTGTATGTCAGTGAGTGTCTCTTTTTTTTCCCTAAATGTGTGCTTACTGTGTCTCTCTCCTAACTGTCTCCCAGTCTCTGTTTCCTAAATATCTCAACAGTCTCTCTATCCTTTCCCTAAATGTTTCCCCAGGCTTTTTTCATTCTCTAAATTTCTCACTGTGCATCTGCTTTCACTTAAAGGCACCCAGACCACTTCAGATCATTGAAGTGGTCTTGATGTACTGTCCCAGGGCCCTTAACCTTGTAAAAGTAATTATTGTAGGCATCTGCTTTCTAAATTTCTCACTGTGCATCTGCTTTCACTAGAGGCACCCAGACCACTTCAGATCATTGAAGTGGTCTTGATGCACTATTCCAGGGCCCTTAACCTTGTAAAAGTAATTATTGTAGGCACTGGCGTACATACCGCGGTCACAGGGGACACAGCTGCGACCGGGGTATATACACCAGTTTGCCAGCCTCTTCTCCAGGGGGGCCCGGAGCTAGCCACCTCAGGGCACCCCGAGGCTGGCAGTGGTGTCACCGGGCAGGCGCGCGAGGGAGCATTCTCTCCTGAGCGCGCTCTGCCCAGCTCCCTCGCACGCACCGTACTGATGCCGGAGCCGTAATATGACGTCACCCCAGCTCCAGCATCAGTAAGCGGCGCGCAAGGGAGCTGAACAGGAGGATCAGTGCTCCCTCGCCGCCTGCAGGACCGGCCACCCAGCAGACCCACCGGACCCCAGGGAAATCTGGAATCCCCTCAGCTCTCCCAAAGGTAGGGAGGCTGGGGGATTAAATAAAAAATAAAAAAAAGTGAGTGTGTGTGTGCTAGTTTTTTGTGTGTGTTACTGTGTGTGTTAGTTTGTGTCAGTGAGTGTGTTACTGTGTGTTTGTTACTGAGTGTGTTATGTGTGTCTGTTTGGTGTTTGTAAGTGAGTATGTATGTCTGTCACTGAGTGTGTCTCTGTCAGTAAATGTGTGTCTGTTAACTAGTGTGTGTATGCGTCTGTTTGTGAGGGTTAAAACCCCTTCAACACTTACCTTTCTCCAGCGCCGGGCTCCCTTGGCGCTTGGGATCTCTCCACCCATATCCGCCTCTCAGCTCCGAATGCACATGTGCGGCAAAAGTCACGCACGCATTCAAAACCGCCCATAGGAAAGCATTACTCAATGCTTTCCTATGGACGTCCAGCGTCTTCTCACTGTGATTTTCACAGTGAGAATCGCAGAAGCGCCTCTAGCGGTTGTCAGTGAGACAGCTACTCGAGGGTGGATTAACCCTCAGTGAAACATAGCAGTTTCTCTGAAACTATGTTTTCAGCTGTAGGGTTAAAACTAGTGGGACCTGGTACCTGGTACCCAGGACCTGGTATCCTTGAGCTGAAGTAATATGAGTGCCTATAGTGGTCCTTTAAGTGATTGTGTATCTGCATGCACTGGTGTACATATCGCAGTTGCGGCCCGCGCAGATTAAGCGTGGGGGGCCCACGGATCAGTTTTCTCACTTGGGCCCCATGGATCGTGTGTATGCCACTGATTGTTAAAACCTACAATCTGCAATAATTACCATTCAGGGTTAACTCCACCTTTAGTGGCTATGCATGGGGAGGTCCAGCATCATACAAACCCATAAGAAAGCATTGTAAAGTATCAATAATTAAACAATTTTAATGCCTGTATCTGCCTTTTCATGAACAATAAAAATTGTAGATTATACTAGCTTTAGTGTAACTATAATCTTAATTTTATTAATGACAGGAGGCGAATATTTGCTTAAGTCTCTCTTTACTAGAACTCCACAGCAGCACATTAACATAGAGAGAAAAACACCAGAGACAAAAAAAAAAATCAGGAATCTATAAAAGGCTTCTCCCAACTAACTATTTCCTCTTTAACGCTGCGAAATATAAAGTACATGAACAATACACCACAAATAAAATAACAGGATAAACAAACGTAACATAACGATGAATGCGATCCGAAATTGAAACTGTGGAACCAGTGGGTGAAGCCTTGACCTTTATCCTGTAGAGTAGTCGGATCTAAGAACTGTAGCCAAACCATTAAACTGAAACGAGATAAACAGAGGCGAAAACACTGATTAGCGAATGAAATGTACTGAGAAAACATGAATCCCCATCGTAAATACGGACAGTATAATATCCCAGGTAGTGAAAAAACCTGAATCCCTATCATAAAATACTGACGGTACCATATCCCAGATAAACCCCAACTCCCCCAGATAACCAACCTAGCCCAGGTGACCAGGTGAATAAATAACAAGTCAGTCAAACCAACAAACAAGGGGAGGGAGAAACTGGGAGGGAAATATTAGCCTCCTGTCATTAATAAAATTAAGACTATAGTTACACTAAAGCTAGTATAATCTACAATTTTATAGCATGACAGGCTTCATATTTGCTGTTTTAACGCTCGGACAGCAAAGACCAAAGAAACACAATCCACCATACCAACCTAAAATCTGCGAAGATAGCGCCTCGTAACCGGCAGGAAAGCGTACGATGTCTTGGAGAAAAACGCCCCGCCATGTCGGTACCTAAAGTCGCCATGTTACGGACTGAAGTGAACCAAAAAAACCTATACGCCATGCCAATGCCAACCACAACCAAGCGGTACATGAAGGGCGAGAAAAAGGGAAGAACCATTTAAACAAACGGTGACGTCGAACACCGCCTAAAGGTGGGAGCGCTACCAAAGTAAGAATATGACCCTCGGGTCCGACTAAGGATGATAGACATCTAAGGTCCGAACCACCGAACCCATCTGAAAGAAAAACAAGGTATAATAACGGAAATAAATCGGAAACATCTCTTCAGATAGTTCTGGTATTCCTGAATGTCATTAATTCCTCCCACTTGCCAACCAGGTTCTATTGTCACCGAAATGACTGATGCACAAGATACCTATCTCACCAGGGAGAAAATAGAGGCCACTTTACCAGAACTGGATCCCGCAATCCCTAGAAGTTTCTTGAGGGTCGCGTCTAATTCAAAGTAACTAATGAATATACGTTGCTGGGACTCCGATGGGCTCAGATCCCTTTATCCCAAGCACCTCCAGCATTCCAAATTGCGTTTAGGATAGGGTCGTCTGCCACACCAGACTCTGGGCCCCGTCTGGGATGTCATTCAAAAGTGGAGGCAAGTGTGAAATTCCAGGTCAAGGGTCCCCTATAAAAGGTATGGGTTGGAGCTGAGATAAGCCTCCGTCAAGTATTTCCATGTAAAAAAAGGACACATCTTTTACTTTCTCGTTTGTTCTTGCTAGCACAACTCAATCGTGTAGCGGAGAACAATCGGCTTGCCAGTGCGGACTTAACAGTATAGGCACTGTAGTGGGCCGCACTCAGGATCTCCTGAATACTAGACAGGTGCTTAACCAGCAAAACCGCAGTGCCCTATCGGGGTCTAAGTCTGGGTTTGCGGCTACTTTGTTCGGTAGCCCGGCTGGGAATACCGCTCGAATTATCCTGCGGGCTTGTCAAGCCAACGGTCTACGGGCCCAGAAACGCACCGATGGTGCTAGGTGATCGGGCAGAGACCATTCCAAAGAAACCCAGGTGAGCAATGGATCAAGGGTCGAACAGGGGTTCGTTTAAGGCGATCCATGAGATGACTTCTTCCACGGTCAGCGGGGGCCCTGTAGTGGACTTTGTTTTACATCTCATGGTGCCACTAGGGGCTGCCATCATAATCCACACCCCTACCGTCCTCTCCCTCCGAGGGGAACCGGTTCAGCTAGGGCGGCCATGGTGGGGGGGGTTACGAGGACCTTCACCCCTGCGCCACATAGGCAGTGTCTTATCTTTCTGGGAGCCAAGTTCAGGGCATTCACCCTTCCAGTAGCACTCATGCGCACTTGCCTGCTCTCCTCAAGGAGAGTCTGACTCATTCAAGTTGCCTGCCATTTTAAAGGTGGGCCTTCTAGCGTTACGCTCCTGATAAGCTTAAGGGAGGACCCACAGAGGTGGTCACTGCCATAGTAGTCATTGTCTGTTAACCTGGATAAGGGTTCTCCTGTGCAGCGGTCCCAGGCAAAGCGACCTCAAGGAGTATAGAGGACAAGTGTCACCGGCAGGGAGATAGGGGCAGCACCCCATATAGTGACCGAGGCAAGTTGGGCAGCGCATGCAATGCACAAGCGTGAGTATGTGGCAGTAGGCTTGGCATGCAGACATTCTAGCACAGGCCAGATCAATGGGGCACAGACAAAGCATGCCAATCAATGGGGGCACAGGCAAAGCAGGCCAATCAGTAAGGCACGGACAAAGCCGGCCAAGTCCTGGGACACAGACAAGTCAGGATCATCAGAGATGTACAGGTGAGGAACTATGCATTTCATTCTTCCGATACCTTTCGCTCTTCAGATAAGATGTACATAACACTTCTTCAGATTAATAGCACATAACACACTTCTGTGTAAATGTAATTAACACTCTTCTGTGTAACTGTACGTAACCTTCTTCTGTGTAAATGTACGTAACACTCTTCTGTGCAGCCGTACATAACATCCTTCTGTGTAAACATACAATACGTTCTTCTGTGTAACCGTACCTAATGCTCTTCTGTGTAACTGTGCATAACACTTCTCCGTGTAACTGTGCGTACATTCTTCTGTGTAACTGTACATAGTATAGTACTGTGTAACTGTACATAGCGTTCTTCAGTGTAACTGTACATAGTATTCCTCTGTGTAACTGTACATAGCATTCCTCTGTGTAACTAACGAAATCCCTTATTAACCAGACTATGCGAACCAGCCTGTTCGGTTATTTAGACGTGTGTGGGGTGATTTTGTGCAAATATCAATAAAATGAATAAACTCCCGAATCACCCGACCTCCTACTGAGGTCATGTGGCGCCCATTAACCACCCAGACTTTGCGGTTAACCCCAGAGTAATTGGGGAACAGCTTGGTGGTCCACGTTAGTCTACCGAACACGTGGCAGTCGCCATTTTAAATTGTCGAACGCCCTGCAGTAACTGGCGGCGGTGCCCTGGAACTCTTTTTCGGATACTTATTCTGCCGAACACCGCTGATGTCTACCAAGGTCCTTGTTCATACGGCTGGAAACACAAATGCCGGAGACATTTCACCGTTCGGGACTTAGATTTATGCGAAATGGACCGACCCCAGATAGCTGCAGTTGTGGAACTCTTTGTCGGATACAAACACACGAACGGCCGGTGAAGCCCAAACTTCATTCGACGTTATTAAGAACTGTGTTCGTGGGATCTGAGCGCTATTCGCCTATAATATACACTCAGATCCAAGCTATCTGGGGGTATGTGGGACTTAAAGTTTATGTTTAGTAAAATGTAAGTTATAGATTTTTATGCTGTTTTGTGAATATAGTAAAAGCCATGTTTTTCTCTACCTGGAGATAATTAAGGTTCCTTTTACTACCTTAAGTTAATTATCTCCAGGATAGAAAGGAGGGCGTTACCTATGTAAAAGGGTAGTGCTTATGTTATAGCCACTGCGATTGGCTACTGTAATTCTTGTGCCTCAGTCTTCCACCTGGTCGCCTAGGGGAGTGTCCACCAGGTGGGGGACCTGCATAAATAGTGGGCAGGTAGCCCCATTAAATGAGATCGTTTTACCCCTTCATTAAGTCTCAACTCATGTTTTGGGGATTGGAAGCTATAATCATTCTGTTTCAGCTGGATTTCGGGAGAAGCTACAAGGATCAGCACTGCACGAATAGGAGGATCCTTTACAGACTGTACCTAGCATTCCATTGTGTAACTGTAGATAACGCACTTCAGTTAAATAGTGCCTGATACTCCATAAATAGTGAACTTGCATATGGAGTACACCTGTAGTCAGGGAACTCACCAACTGAGTTACCTCACAAGAGGTGCTCCATTGGTCAAGATGATAAAATAGAGCGCTGCAAGCAATCATCTGAACAAACAAAAAGGGGGGGGGGGATGAGTATAAGTGGTAACACTGCCAGTTGCGCCTGTAACCCTTGAGGGGTTGTGCACCGCTCTATATAGCATGCCTGTGATCTATATCATCCACTATGGTCCCCAGTAGCCTAACCTGCCAGCCACATGGGGCACAAAGCCAGGACAGCCTGAGGCAGCAATGCGCCCAAGTCATAGCTGAGTCCCAGTCAAAGCTACAGCACATGAGCCTGCCATCGACGGAACTAATGCGGTAAGTCTGGTAACTGGCCAACCCCGCCCCCCACCCGACCACGCGGTCGCGGGGAAGTGGATGCTCAGGGCTGCCGCACTGCATGGGAAGTTAACCCCCCCACAAACGCCGCGGGAGCAGTTATACCGCGAGCAGAAGTGTGGGTCGGGTGGGGGGTGGAAGCAGAGGATCTCGCTCGGCGGACGGAGCCAGCAGGCAGGATCCAACACGTGGGACTGCCGGAGTCTTACTCCGGGGTCCCGGCGGTCGGCAACTGAAAGCGGTCGGAGAGCCGCTTTCTGGCAGCCGCAAAACAGACGAAAAGTGAAAGGGCAAAGCCACCCGGAAGAGATAGAGGGAGGGAGGGGACCGAGAAAAAAACCCGAGAAAAAAACCATCCCCAGACAGGGGGGCCCAAAACAGGAAAATGCAGAAAAGTCATAAGAGAAAATACATCCATACATACAGCAAAAAAGTAGGGACAGAAAAATGCAATCTAAATAAATCATAACGGCAGTAGGAAGGTAAACACATTCTAAACAAATAAATCCCTGCAGCCATAAGAAGGTAGATGCAGAAAAACAGAGTAAATCAATCAATCAAGCAATCACTACAGCACTAAGCAGGTAGGTGTAGAAATACAGAAAATTTTATCATACTTACCGTAATTTTCTTTTCCTGGCTATTATTCATGGCAGCATCACTTATGGGTAGCTCCGCCCTAATCAGGAACAGGACAGGATAAAATCAATTAATATGGACCAGACTGGGTATAAAAGGTCCCTCCTCCTTCTATCCCACAGTCTAGTTCCAAAGCTAAATCTGATAACCAGGGGGGGTTGCTGATGCTGCCATGAATAATAGCCAGGAAAAGAAAATTACGGCAAGTATGATAAAATTTTCTGTATTCCTGGCTAATCATGGCAGCATCACTTATGGGTAATACCCAAGCTTCACCATAGGGTGGGAAATTCAAAAACAAAAAACTCCAAACCATATAATGCTGAAAAAAGGTTTAATTTAGATAGATTCCACAGAGGACAGAACACCTCTACCAAAAGCCGTAGAGGAAGATGCCAAATCCATCTTGTAATGTTTGAAGAAAGTGAGAGGAGAAGACCATGTAGCTGCCTTACAGATGTCGTCAGATGGAACCTCTGCCCAATTAGCCCATGAAGTTGCTAAAGCCCTTGTAGAGTGTGACTTGATCCTACTAGGAGGGACAAGGTCTTTCAACTGATAAGCCTTGATTATAGTATTGGAGATCCAACGTCTCAAAGTGGAAGTAGATGCTGCCTCCCCTCTTCTGGGACCAATCGGCAAAACAAACAGCTGTTGAGACTTCCGAAAATGAGTAGAAACCTCTAAATACTTGAGTAGGCACTGCCTGACATCCAATTGATGAAGTTTCACTTCTTCTGGAGTGGAAGGAGATGGATAAAAGGAAGGAATAACAATCTCTTGTAAGATGTGGAAATTTGAGACAACTTTCGGCAGAAACTCTTGTCTGGGTCTCAAGATCACCCTGTCGTGGAATACTTGAAAGTGATTTTCATCGCAGGAAAGAGCATGAATTTCTGACATACGCTTTGCAGTAGTAACAGCCACCAGAAACAAGGTCTTATATGTTAATAAGACAATACCCAGCTCATCTAATGGAGCAAAGGGGTTTTCAGCCAACACCTCCAGTACCATAGGTAAATTCCACGGAGGAGAGTAGTTCCTATTTGGAGGTCTTATACGGATGGTTGCTTTAAAGAATCTAGCAATTAGAGGATCCGAAGTCCAAGACTTGTTGCAGAGAGCAGATAAAGCCGATGATTGGACTTTTAGAGTACTGAGACTCAGCCCTTTCTCTAGACCTGTATGAAGAAATTGCAGAATGTTAATGTTAGATGGCTGAAGAAAATCCACATTATTCTCTAGAGACCAGGAACGAAAAACTTCCCAAATCTTATGATAGCAGGAAGAAGTAGATGCTTTTCTGGATTTTAGGAGAGTAGTTACCACAGTTTCTGGGATCCCTTGAGCTAGCAATCTCTCCTTTTCAAGAGCCATGCCCCCAATTTCAGCTGGCTGGGGTTGGGATGAACAGCTGGTCCCTGGATTAAGATGTTTGGTCTGACAGGAAGAGGCCAAGGAGGTTCCAGGCTCATCTTGTTCAGCAGGGGAAACCAAGGTCTGCGAGGCCAGATTGGGATGATGGCGATGACTTTGAGACCTTCCTTCCATATTTTTCTCAGCAGTCGGTAAATCATTGGTAGGGGAGGGAATGCGTACCCCAGATCGAATTCCCATGGAAGAGACAGGGCATCCTGTCCTTCTGCTCGATGATCCGCATGTAGGGAGTAAAACCTCTTCACCTGAGTGTTGTTGTATGAAGCCATCAGGTCGATCTGGGGTACTCCCCACCGATGGGTGATCAATTGAAATAAGTCTGGGTGCAGTTTCCATTCTCCTTGGAGAATCCTTGTCCTGCTGAGATAGTCTGCCAATAAATTCTCTGACCCTGGAAGATAAACCGCTTTTAATCCTTGAAGATGTAGTTGCGCAAACCTCATTATTGGTGACAATTCTATCAGTAGAGAATAACTTCGAGTTCCTGCCTGATGATTTATGTAGGAAGCCACAGCTCTGTTGTCTGTATGTATCCTGACCCAGGCATCCCTTAATAGAGGACGGAACCCTATTAATGCCTTGAGAACCGCTCTCATTTCTCTCAAATTCGAATGGAGTTTTGACTCCTTCCATGACCAAGTTCCTTGGATCCAAGAGTTGTTCAGATGTGCTCCCCATCCCAGAAGGCTGGCATCTGTAGTTACAGTAATCCAGTCCGGCTCTTCCAGGGGAAAACCACAAAGGAGGTGTTTTTCTTTTGTCCACCAATATAGTTCTTTCGAAATTCTCGGGAGTAACCAAATCTTCTGATCCCAATTTCCTTGTTTTGCTCTGAACTGTAAGAGAAAATGCCTCTGAATGGGTCGCATCCTCCACTGGGCCCATTTCACTAGGCCTATCGTGGAAGTAAGAGACCCTAACAGGCTCATGAAATCTCTTGCCGTGATGAAAGATTTTTGACGCAGACTTCTGATCTTCTTCATTATTCGTTGTTTTCTGTCTGTAGACAGTGATACCAGGCCATTCCCTGAGTCTATATTTGCTCCTAGGAAAATCATCCTTTGAGAAGGCACTAAAGAACTCTTTTTGGGGTTTATCAGCCAACCATGATCTTGAAGGTATTTTATGGTTATAGACGTGTGGACATTCACTATCTGACTGGAAGGACCTAAGATCAGAAAATCGTCCAGATAATGAAAAATCTCGATGTTCCTTGTCCTTATAAAGGCCACCAGAGACACTAGAATCTTCGTGAATGTTCTGGGCGCCAGACTTAAGCCGAAAGGAAGTCCCTTGAACTGATAGTGATTCCCCGCAATCCAAAACCTTAGAAACCGGCGATGACTGACATGAATAGGAATCTGATAGTAGGCGTCCTTGAGATCTATAGAAGTCATCCAGGTCCCTGTCTTTATATTGGGCAGAATTGTGGCAATGGACTCCATTTTGAAAGTTCTTGGAACCAAATAAGTATTCAGAACTTTCAGGTCCAGAATTAGACGCCATTTCCCCTGAGGTTTTGGGGCCAAAAATATCGTAGAGTAGTGGCCTCTGTAATGTTCTCTGTAAGGGACTTTTTCTATGACCTGATTTTGAAGAAGTTGAGAAATAATTTCGTTTAGAGCCATTTCTTTTCTTCCTCTTGCCACTCTTGAACGGGTAAAGGAGGTTTGAGAAGGGAATTCTTTGAATTCTATTTTGTATCCTTCCTTGAGGATAGAAAGAACCCAAGAGTCTTGAATGCTTTTGGCCCAAACCGGATAAAAGAAGCGAAGTCTGCCTCCTATAACATCTGGCTGGGCCAGCAAACGTTCAGAAGTTTTTATTAGCTGGTCTAGATCCTCTTCCTCTAACTGGTTTTGATGAAGATGACTGGTAGCTTCTCCAGTTAGAATTCCTGGAGAATTCTCTTCCGGGTCTATATGACCTGGCGTCTCGAAAGGATCGGTCTCTAAACTTTTTATCCTTCCAGTAGGAAGCATTAAATCTTCTTTTCCCCTGGGGGAGAAAGGCTTTTCTTCCATCTGCCGCTTTATGGATCGCATCTTCCAGGACTTTACCAAATAGAAGGTCCCCTTGAAAAGGAAGCGCACATAGGGAGGCCTTAGAGGCGTAATCTGCACCCCAAGAGTGAAGCCATAATGCTCTTCTCGAAGCAACTGACAGTGCCATACTTTTGGCTACCATTTTAGTAATATCCAGGGAAGCTTCAGAACAGAATTCTGTGGCCAGCTTTAAATCTTTAATGCCCTCCATCAGGTGTTCTCTACGGACTCCACCAGCAATATCCTCTTCTAGATTATCAACCCATATTTTAAGAGCTCTGGACAAGGTGGTAAGAGCAATGGCTGGATGTAATGCTGACCCTAGGGCCAAGTATGCCTTAATTAGGTCAGCGTCCAATCGCTTTTCCATTGGCTCCCTTAAATATGCCATTGAATCTATGGGAAGAGTTGTTCTTTTTGCCATGTGGATGACTGCGGCATCAATTTTTGGAACCGAAATCCATGACTTGCAGTCCTCAGGTGCATACGGGTATAATCTGGGGACTTTGCTCTTTAAAGTCACCTTCTTCTCTGGTCTATTCCATTCTTCACCTATTACCTCCTTTATGGCCGAATGAACTGGAAAAGTAGGCCTGTTAGGCTTCAGATCTTCAAAATATCTATCAGACTCCTTCTTCTCCCTGCTTTCTTCAGGAATTCTTAATGTGTCTCTGATAAGATGAACCAACTTATCCACAGACCTGGAATATAACGATTTTGAGTCATAGTCATCCTCTTCTTCCTCTGAATAGTCTTCCATCATATCAGATTCTTCTTCTGATTCCACATAGCTTTCCACTCTGGGACGCTTGGGGATAGCCATTTTACTAGAGGATTTAAATCCTTCAGCAATGGCTTCTGAAATCCATTTCTTCAAGTCAGCCTGTGGGGAACTTTTCTCATCCCAGTCCTTCGCTGCTTCCGTAAGGCAAGATCTGCACAAATTTTTTCCCGGAGGAGCCACTTGGTTGCAGTTTGCACATCTGTTGGATTTTTCTCTATATTTTCTGGGAGAATCCTCTTGAGATTTTTCTGGGCTGAAATTAAAGGCCAATATATTATATATTATAGGCCTGCAATGGCACTCTTTTTTCCCCCCTTAAATCAAATTCGACATATGCGGCTCACCTATGTCTTCTAGAGCGAGATCTTGAGGCAGAGGGAGAAGCCATCTAGAATAAAATATGCTTATTGTAAAAGAAACCTTCAAGCAGCAAGAAAGATTCAATAATATCCAAAAAAAAACTTAAGATTTACCTTTAAACCAGATTCTGAACAAAAAAGGCAGCTTTCCTTATTAACAGAAGTTCATAGAAGAAGCCAGGATCAATTTTGAGTGGTTTTTAAATTTTTCATTTTTTGGCGCGATATACCTTTAAGCGCGCAATTATTCCGCGCATGCGCAGAACACCCGCCGGACGCCGTCGGTACTGCGCATGCGCCAGAAGCCGAAGAGAGAAGAGACAGACCGGAGGAAGCCCCTGCACCATGCTGATATCCAGGGAAGCTTCAGTTTACACAAAAGACAGATGCAGGTAAGCCAGGCACTTGTAAGCTGTCAGAATAAACTCCAGAATTTAAAACAAAATGAAAACCAACGAAAATTTTATCAGAAATAAGCACTTACCCTAGGCTCTCCCAATAACTGACCTCAGATCAGGGGGGTTAGATGCTATAAGGGGATTTTTAAGGTAACAGCCGACCCCACATCCACAGTTGAAACTTTTTCTCCCATAATAGTACAGATGCTAATCTGTACTAAACTCAGTTAGTCCTGCCCGTGCAGGCTGTTTACTGAGTTCTTCAGATGAAGAGAGGCTGAACTTCATCTGGAGGCCCATGGTACACATGGGAAGGTGGCCCAAAATAAAATATCCTGTGTGTCCTGAAAGGACAGGAAAAAAGACTGTGGGATAGAAGGAGGAGGGACCTTTTATACCCAGTCTGGTCCATATTAATTGATTTTATCCTGTCCTGTTCCTGATTAGGGCGGAGCTACCCATAAGTGATGCTGCCATGATTAGCCAGGAAATACAGATTAGCTAAATAAATCAATCAATCCTTACAGCACTAAGTAGGTAGATGCAAAAATACCCACTAAATAAATCAATACAGTAACAAACATATAAATACAGTAAAATATCCACAACCACCCATATATAACAGGAGGCAGTGGTACTCTGACCTGTACTGACAAAAAAAGAGGAAATAGTTGGTTGGGAGAAGCCTTTTATAGATTCCTGTGTTTTTTTTTTTTTTTTGTCTCTGGTGTTTTTCTCTCTATGTTAATGTGCTGCTGTGAAGTTCTAGTAAAGAGAGACTTAAGCAAATATGAAGCCTCCTGTCATGCTATAAAATTCACTGTTCTTTTGTAGAGGGTTTTTTCTTGTCTATGGTAGCCTTTTTAAGCCTCTAGCAAGGTAAAAGGTATCTCCACAAAATAAAACATTCTTTATTTCTGCCCTTTTTGTTTGCAAATGCATTGCATTGGCTGCTGTGATAAGCTGATTTATTCCCCATGATATGCTTCTCAGTGTTTTGTGTGGCAAATGTTTGTTACTCCACTTTCTGCATTTTCAGCTCTCCTAACTTATTTTTCTTTAATACATACTGTAACACATTTTGCAGAGAGAGTCTCTCTAGTTTCAAGTCCATTAATTTCTGAATTGTAGCTTTCTTGAAGACTTGATAAAATCACTATCACTTTGTCGTCTTCATCAAATTTATTTCCAATAGAATCTAACTGATCAATTAACTCTAACAATTGATAGAGATGTTTCTCTAGGTCAGGGGTTCGCAATTCTTGTGACTAACCTCATGGGTACAATCCAGTACCCACAGGGTGAATGAGAAAAAAAATCAGTAATAGTGGCAGTGCAACCGCACCACACAGGTTGGTAACCGGTTGAAGGTCCAGCTGGTGGCCCATGCCTTTAGGGCCACGTGACGGACATGTGACATGAGGGGCGAGGTTGTGTGCTGTGGTGCTTTAGCAGTGCGACTGGGTCCCTTTTTACCTTCTGGGAGAAAGTGAGAGACCGTCACTTCCTTCCAGTTTAAACAGACAGTGCTGCGTGGGAGGGGGGCAGATGCCTGCCCTATTTTCCCGCAATAGCTCAACTCCGTCCCCTTGTCAGCTTAACCTTGCCCACTAACTTTTACCACTATTACACACTAATGACAGAGATTAATAAAATAGCTCTGAAAGGCACATTTAAAAGTAATCTAACTATAATGGAAAAACAAGCCTTGAAAGATCCCAAAAAAAAAACGACCCCGATCTTGTTATTAAACCTGCTGATAAGCGGGAAGGATTGTTTTAATGTCCAAAAAATGTTATAATATAGAGGCAGATAGAATTCTAAATGATATTATCACATACAGGAAATTAAGCAAATTTTTTTTTAAAATTCTCTGAGAAAGGCTTAAATGAAGTAATTTAAATAATTTTTTTTTTTAGATTTTCTTAATATCAAATATCCTAAGATCCCTGTATTTTATTTTTTGCCAAAAGTCTATAAAGACCTGAATAACCCCCCAGGCGGACCTATTATAGCAGGAGTAGACGCTATCCCAAGTAGGCTTTCTCAGTATATTGACGTCTTATTGCAACCATTAGTGCAAAAAACTAGATCACATATCAAAGACACGATATCTGTTGTAAAACTTTTAGATGGTTTTAAATGGGAAAAGTGAGTACATTTTAGTGATGTGATTTCACAGCATTATATGGAATTTCCCCATGAATATGGATGCAAAGCAGCTGAACACTTTTTAACCCCTTAAGGACCAAACTTCTGGAATAAAATGGAATCATGACATGTCACACATGTCACACATGTCACACATGTCACACATGTCACACATAAACAAATCAACCACTTTTTTTTTTTTTTGGTAATTTATTTTTGCAGTGCATAGTAAATGACAATACATGGGGAATAAAATTAACTAGCACCTGGAGCCAGAAGGAAGTGGGCTTTTAGATCTCAATATTTATGTCCAAGATGGAGCTATACAGACTAAAAATAATTTTAAAACCATAGATTGCAATAGTTTTATTGAACATATAAGTTATCACTACGCCCCTGGCTAGAAAATGCTCCAAAAGAACAGTTTTAAGGATTCGACAGAATTGCATCAACCTGGAAACTTATGAAGTTTATCACTCATTGAAAAAAAAAAAAAAAAAGAATTTTTAGATAAAGGATATGAAAAGAATAAGTTAGAACCATCAAGATTAGAAATAAAAAGCAAAGAAAGCAAGGATATGCTAAAATACAAAACGAAGGACAAAAAAATTACAAAAGATGTACCATTTATTTGTGATTTCAATGTGAAAAACCACAAAGTCCAGAAAAACCATAAAAAATACTGGCCTACCCTACTACATGATCCTTTGTTAAAAACGTTTTTTACCTAAAAAACAAAACAAAACCAGCTTCATCCAAGTCGTCAAAACTTTAAGAAGTTCTTTAGTGAATAGTTTTATTAAAGAAAAAAGAATACCTCTACTATATTTAATAATGAAAAAGGTTTCTATGGTTGTGGACAGTGTACAGCCTGTAAAAGATTAGGAAATGCTAGAAGGATCATCACAAGTATTGATATTAAGGATGGAGAATCAATAGCCATAAAAGAGTTTATTACTTGTTCAAAAAATATTATTTATCTTTTAAAATGTCCCTGCGGCTGGGGGCGTGTCCTGGACGCGGAACAGAGTAGCCGCGTGTAGCCAAAGCTCCGTGCCTCGAGGGCTATAGATGAGCAATTACAGCCCACAACACAACGAAAATAGAATATCCCCTCCACAATGTCACAACCCAAAGGGAAACGGACCACAGAGAGGTAAAAAACCAAATAATTTTGCCTCCAGAGCAGGGCAAGGACGAGCCTCGCACCAGCCTGACCAGGCCCAAGATGGATGCAGACGGTGAGCAAGAAAATGCTACCGGGCCTGCAGAATGTGAAACCATGCTGACACACAGCTCACTCAAACATCTCCTGGACGAAATGTCCGAAAAAATAGCTCACTCAAATATCTCCTGGACGAAATGTCCGACAAAATAGTAGCGAAAATGGACGCTGCCATGAAGGATCTCCGCAAAGACTTGCAGGATCTAGGCAATCTCTTATCCCAGATGGAAGAGCACCTAACAGAACTGGCGGAGGCCCACAACACTCTGGCATGCACAGTTGAAGGCATTGCCTCAAGACTGGACGACCAGGACCCCAAGATAGCAGATATGGAGGACCGGGCCCGCCTCTATAATCTATGCATAAGGGGCATTGCCGAAACAGTGCATACTGATGACCTTACCGCCCATGTAACGGGCCTGCTGAAAGAGAGAGCCTGAGACTTGCCACAAGACCTGTTCCTTCTCGACAGGAATCATCGAACCGCCAAGCTGAAATTTCTACCCCTGGATACACCAAGAGATGTCCTAATAAGAATGCATTATTTCCACACTAAAGAAGTGGTTCTCAATGCCGATAGAAATCGGAAAGAGATGCCAGCGGCCTACAGAGGGACGACCATCTATGCAGATATCTCTGCCTACACCCTAAAGAGACAGCAGGACTTTAAAGACATCACCACGCTGCTGCAAGAAAACCGTCTCCTGTACCAATGGGGCTATCCCACCAAGCTTCTGGTATTGAGAGAGGGAAGGTCACCACGTTTTATGCACCTGGAACATCGCACCAGCAACGCAACCTGCGACAGAGGGGAGCAGAACCAGAATGTAGCCGGAGTGGAAGAAGGCGAAGAAGTGATAAACCTTTTGGACTATGAGGATGGTTGCCCCGGTACCCCTAGCTCATCAACTCACAACGCACAACAACCACTGGGTCAGGGTAATGTAGTACTGTAGCATCTATGTTCCCAGACAGGCAAAGGGTATGTAGGGAGGTCACATACCAGTTGGCCGCAGGTATACGAGAGGTCTAGACCCCTGATTACCAGGTACAACCTTAACATCAATATTACCCAGAACAGGCCCACCATGCTCGAACCCCATAGTTCTGTGGAACAGATTGAGGGTTAACGATATAATCTCACTACTTAAAAAAAAAAAAAGACCACTAATAAATGAAACACTTTCTGTACTATCAGCCCTAACAATTTCACCCGCAACCCCAAGTCCACACCCCCTGCCCAATAGTAAATGGCGTACGATAGGTAATCCCTAAGGGAGGAGCAAGAAGATGGGTCGGCTATGTATTTGGGGGGACCCTACACACTTCACCACAATAGCAACCCCAGCAGGTACCATTGAGATGGAACCCACACATACCCATAGCGGTGTGCTGAAAGGAATGCCCCAGAGATATATGGGGAATACCATGCAGGAGTCCCACCCAGGGCTGAGAAACTTAGTTGACAAAACAGGTAGCCACTAAGGGAGGCAGCTCTCACTGACTGTGAGGCCCTAAGCATCTACCCCCAAGGCACGGCGAAGATATGCCAAGCCAATACAATGGCAACAAGTGTTTTTGTATATACTTTCTTTTATGTTAATTATGTACTTCATATTGTTTTTACAAACTGATCGAATGTTATGTTTTTCACAATGTTCTTATAGACGGTGCAAGGTTAGTGGGCAATCCGATACCATCTCCTTCATGGATAACTCCCCTACCTAGTTGTAGGAATCCAACCTTTTACTCTGCTGACAACAACAACCATGACACAGGGGGCTTCATGGCTTGGCTTGACTAAGCTGGGGGAGAGCAGTGGCCCTCGAAACCATAAACCACCACAAGCTTTACACTAAGTCTCAGCACAAAAAACCACCGTGAAGATCTGTACTCTTAATGTCAGGAGACTCAAGGCCCCTGTAACGCGACATCTTCTCACTAGAGAGGTCAAGACCCTAGGAGCGAATATACTGTGCCTCCAGGAAACCCATTTTCGGCACAATGACCACCCCAAAATACTAGCCACTGACTTCTCACATCAGTTCCACGCAACGTCTCCCACCAAATCCAGATGGGCATCTATTTTAGTAAGCAAAAATGTTTCGTTTACATTCCATTCCATCGACATAGACATGAATGGC